TGCGAGAAGTGCAAACTCTGAAGTTTGCTTGTCGGGAAGGTGAAAATCGCTAACCCTAATAGGCAGAAGTTAAATCTGTCGTCACGCTAGAAGACAGTCATCGAAAGCAGGGGCCAAAAGTGATTCAGCCACTATATCCTCCGGCTTATGTTTCTAAGTTCAAATCAACAACACATTTACCTACTTCTGGAAAGTTGTTTTATTCTTCCCAGAGAATTCATTCACAAGCAAACATTAATATTGTTCAGTGAGCACTCCAAAATCAACTTGCAGTTTTCTCTTACCCTTTGAATTGGCTTTTAAAATGTGAAAAAGACAAGTGTTAGCCAAGTGGTGTATCAAACAAAAATAAACCTCACAGCAGTTCATGACCCTCTGAAGGTGCAAACAAAATTCTAGTATAGTACCAAAGCTGATGAAGTAGTAGGCACTGGCCACATGTGGCTATTATCATTTGAATCGTGGCTACTGGGGTTTTTAGAGTTGGAGTTGAACTCGCCTTGAAAATGCTTTATATCATGGTAATGAATCTAAATTTAGAAACAAGTAGGATAGTATTTCCATTAAATATAACTTTCAGTAGGAGGACATTTCACTATACTGGTGAACACTTAGTGCCTAATTTGACATATATGCACAGGGCTTTTAAATTTTTTTTTAAATTTAAGAGTATGTATGTTGATTACATGCTGAAATTACATTATTTAAAACATTAAAATTTAATTCATCTTTTAATGTGTATACTAGAAATTTTAACTGAATGTTACTCAAATATTTTTGTTGGACAATTGTTGATTGTATTACTATCTAAAAACAACTAGTTCGCAGGGAAAATTTTTCTAGTGGGAGATATTGTCTACTGTGTTTTACAGTTCAGAATGCTTTAATATATGTTAGTTTCATATCTCATTCAAAAGTAAAATAAATTATTTTTAAAAAGTTTTGTTTCATGTGTGAAGCAAAATAGTAAACCTTACAAATGCCTTCATAAGATGAATGTCATCCCTAATTATGATTTTTAACAATTGAAATTGCAGCAGAATACATAATGTGATGAACAGTTGCACCCATAACAAGTCAGTCGCTAATGTTACCTCATAAGAGTTCATCTCTTCACCTCTCACCTGTTTGTGGCTGACACAGCAAAGTTGAGCCTATGTCAAGGATATTGCATTAGGGGCTACAAGCAGTATCAACAGAGAATGAATGTCTTGGGATGATGAGGAAACAGCTGAG